CTCTTAAGCCCAAAGGATTTCTTTTAATATTTCTTGTAGTGTGTGCCTACTGATGACAAATTGTCTTATTTCTCTTTTATCTGAAAATATCTTTACTTTGCCTTCATTATTCGCGAGCATTTTCCTTGGATATAGAATTCTGGATTTCCAGTTGTAGAGACTGTGGATTCTGTTAAGTTCTCTCACAAGACTACATCTGCTTCTCACTTATCGACTATCTCATTATCTGACATTCTGCATTTACCTGCAGCGGTAAAATATCTACTCTTAGACTATTTTGTGTATTAATGATACAGCGGGCATGGCAGCAACAGCTGGGGAGCATCCCCTCCCTTGAGGAGGGTCTTCAGGTGGCCTCTGGGAAGCTGGGCTGAGCTAACCCACTCCGTCTACTTCCTGCTGCCCATGGGGGTGCCGCACAGGGCCTGTCTCCTCCGTGGCCACAGCCTCCTGGTGGACGTGCAGACAGCACCGAGCCAGTGGGTGCCTGTTCTGGGTTCCCAGCTCCTGTGCGGCCTGAGGCCCTGCAGCTCACAATTGCTGTGGGTGGGAAGGGAGGAAAGAAAGGCATTGGAAAGGGTGTTTGGAAGAAATGAGTTCGAGTTTAATGACATCCCAAAGTGAGCTGAACTGGTCCTGAAGCCCCTGCCTTGGTAGAGTTGGGTGGTTGGCTGGGGTCTCAGCGCCCTTGCAGGAAGCCCCCAGCCTTGGTAACTCACCAGGCCTGGAGAGTAGAGCAGGCCCTGGGATTGCAGGGCTGGGAGTGGAGCCCTAGAGGTGGCTTCAGGAGGGAACCTCTGACCCCGCACAGGAGGAAGGTGAAGTGGTTAAGCCGTGGGCCCTCCGGTCACACAGCCCGACTTTATCCAGCTTTGTCTCCTCCAAGCCTCCTTCTCCTCAGAGGAATAATCCATAACTAAACTTGTCACAGTGATGAGCACATCAGTAAATCTTAGCTGTTAGTGTTTCTATGATCATATTTTCTAAATTAAAAAGTTCAGACAAATGATTGGTCTGAAAACAGAAAAAAAATTCTCTATTTTTGCATAATGCAAGTTTTCACATATTGACCTGGTCTTTGGAACTTAACCGTGCTTATAAGTGAGAAGTGAGCATATTATTGTTTTGTTTAGCAGGCAGTTAACTTTGCTGAACTGAAACTGTGTTGTTATTGTTGTTAGGTGCCATCGAGTCAGTTCCAACTCATAGTGACCCTACGTACAGCAGAACAAAACACTGCCTGGTCCTGCGCCATCCTCACAATCACTGTTACGCTTAAGCCCATTGTTCAGCCGCTGTGTCAGCCCATCTCTTTGAGGGTCTTCTTCTTCATTGACCCTCTGCTTTACCAAGCATGATGTCCTTCTCCAGGGTCTGATCCCTCCTGATAACATGTCCAAAGTATGTGAGACATAGTCTCACCATCCTTGCTTCTAAGGAGCATTCTGGTTGTACTGCTTCTAAGACAGATATGTTTGTTCTTTTGGCAGTCCATGGGATATTCAGTATTCTTCACCAACACCACAATTCAAAGGCATGAATTCTTTGGTCTTCTTTATTCATTGTTCAGCCTTCACATGCATTTTCGATTTTCACATGCATTTTCTATTGAAAACACCGTGGCTTGGGTCAGGCACACCTTAGTCTTCAAGGTGATATCTTTGTTTTTCAACACTTTAAAGAGGTCTTTTACAGCAGATTCGCCTAATACGATGCGTCTTTTGATTTCTTGACTGCTGTTTCCATGGGTGTTGATTGTGGATCCAAATAAAATGAAATTCTTGACAACTTCAATCTTTTCCCTGTTTATCATGTTGTTGTTTAGTGGTCCAGTTGTGAGGATTTTTGTTTTCTTTATGTTGAGGTGTAGTCCATACTGAAGGCTGTGGTCTTTGATCTTCTTCAATAAGTGCTTCAAGTCCTCTTCTCTTTCAGCAAACAAGGTTGTGTCATCTGCATCTGCATAACGCAGGTTGTTAATGAGTCTTCCTCCAGTCCTGATGCCCCTTTCTTCTTCATATAGTCCAGCTTCTTGGATTATTTGCTCAGCCTACAGAGTGAGTAAGTATGGTGAAAGGATGCAACACACAACTTTCCTGACTTTAAACTACACAGTATCCACTTGTTCTGTTCGAACGACTGCCTCTTGATCTATGTACAGGTTCTTCATGAGCACAATTAAGTGTTCTGGAATTCCCATTCTTTGCAGTGTTTTCCATAATTTGTTATGATCCACACAGTCGAATGCCTTTGCATAGTCAATAAAACACAGGTAAACATCTTTCTGGTATTCTCTGCTTTCAGCTAGTATCCATCTGATATCAGCAGTGATATCCCTGATTCCGCATCCTCTTCTGAATCTGGCTTCAATTTCTGGCAGTACCCTGTCGATATACTGCTGCAGCCGCTTTAGAACGATCTTCAGCAAAATTTTACTTGCGTGTGATATTAATGATATTGTTCAATAATTTCCGCATTCAGTGGGATCACCTTTCTTGGGAATAGGCATAAATATGGATCTCTTCCAGTCGGTTGGCCAGGTAGCTGTCTTCTAAATTTCTTGGTATAGATGAGTGAGTACTTCTAGCATTGCATCCATTTGTTGAAAACATCTCAATTGGTATTCTGTCAATTCCTCAAACTGTAAGTTCTGTATTTCCTACAGTGGGCAGTAGCTGAAATCTCAATTCAGTTCTTTTTCCTTTAGCTGGACTGCTTGGAGTCTGCCCTGCACATGTGTAATTTAGAGTTGAGCCAGAGATTTAGGCAGAGCTTATACACAGGATTCAGGGGCTACCCCTCTCTTGGTCTCTCCTCTCTGGGAACAGGATAGAAAGTCAAGAAATACATCCACATATACATGGTCAGCTAACTTTGAACAAAGATGCAAAGACAGTTCAGTGGAGGAAAGATGCAAGTCTTTTCAACAAATGGTGCAGGAACAATTGTGTATCTATATGTAAATAAAGACAGAAACTTTGATCCATACCTCAGAGCATATACAAAAATTAACTCAAAATATATCATAGACTTAAACATAAAACCTAAACTATAAAATATCTAGAAGAAAACATAGGGGATAATCTTTGTAACTTTGAGTTAATCAAAGATTTCATAGCCACAATACCAAAAACATAATCCATAAGAGAAAAAACTGATAAATTGGACATCACCAAATTAAAAACATCTGTTCTTCAGAAAATTACTGTTAAGAGCATTTTAAAAAAGCTGTGTTGTTAATTGTTACGTACTGTCAAGTCGATTCTGACTCATAGTGACCCGTGTACAACAGAACTAAACACTGCCTGGTCCTGCACTGTCCTCACAATCATTGCTATACTTGAGCCCATTGTTGCAGCCACCGTTTCAGTCCATCTCGTTGAGGATCTTCCTCTTTTTCATTGACTCTCTACCTTACCAAGCATGATGTCCTTCTCTAGGGATTGGTCCCTCCTGATAACATGTCCAAAATATGTGAGACATAGTCTCACCATCCTCACCTCTAAGGAGCATTCTGGCTGTACTTCTTCTGAGATAGATTTGTTCATTCTTCTAGCAATCTGTGATATATTCAGTATTCTTCACCAACACCATAATTCAAAGACATCAGTTCTTCTTCGGTCTTCTTTATTCATTGTCCAGCTTTTGCATACATATGAGGTGATTGAAAATACCATGGCTTGGGTGAAGCTCACCTTAGTCCTCAGGGTGACATCTTTGCTTTCTAACACTTTAAAGAGATCTTTTGCAGCAGATTCGCCCAGTTCAATGGGTCGTTTGATTTCTTGATTGCTGCTTCCATGGGCATAGATTGTAGATCCAAGTAAAATGAAATTCTTGGCAACTTCGGTATTTTTTCCATTTATCATGATGTTGCTTATTGGTCCATTTGTGAGGACTTTTGTTTTCTTTATGTTGAGATGTATTCCATAAAAAAGCTATAGATTGGAATAACATATTTTCAAAGCACATATTTAATAAAGTATTGTCCAAAATATATAAAGAACTCTCAAAATTCAATAACAATAAAACAAACAACTAAACTTAACAAGTGGACAAAAGATAAGATCAGATACTTAAGAAGATGTATGGGTGGCAAATAAGCACTTTAAAAAATACTCAACATCATTAGTCTTTAGGGAAATACAAGTTAAAACTACAATGAGATACCACTATAAACCTGTTAGAATGGCTAAAATTAAACAGATTGACCATGTTAAGTATTGGGGAGGATGTGGAGTAACTGGAACTGTCATACACTGCTGGTGGGAATGCAGAATGGTACTATGAAAAACAGTTCGTCAGTTTCTTAAAAATTTAAACACATGGCTGCCATATGATCCAGCTGTTCTACTCCTAGATATTTACCCAAGAGAAATAAAAATGTATCCGTATAAAGATTTGTACAGGAGTGTTCATAGCAACTTTCTGGGTAATAGTAAAAAACTGGAAACAATCCAGATGCCCATCAATAGGGAAATGGATGAACAAACTGTGGTATGGAACGCTATTAAGTAGACAACAGTTTTTTCCAAATGTTTTGCCACTGAATAACATGGATCATCATTCTTCTAGCTTCTGGTAAAAGTTTTCGTGCTGACCACTGGTCAGCCCCTAAGTCAGTGCCACATATTTACGGTTTTTATCATATCTTTGGTACTCCTGGTATCAATTTTTGTATCAGTCAGAACGGGCCAGGTTATACTGTGGTAACAAACAGCCCGTAATCTCCATGGCTTAAGGTAAAATTTTTTCTTTGTTGTACACTGTATGTCCATCACAGCACAGCTGATGGTTCCATTACCTGTTCTCATTCTGAGATTCAGACTGATGGAGAGTCATTATCTAGAACATTACTGATTGCTATGAATGTTGACTAATTTAAAGTTGTTTGATATATAGGCATTAAGATGGTTTTTCAAGCCAAATTGTTTTATTTGCATCAGTATTAGTTGGCTTTCTTCTCCTTATTGTATTCATGAAAGTTTTAAGTAATGGCGTCAGTGGCTATAATTTTCTTTAATCTATGGCATAAAAATTATACAAAATATTTTTGAACTTTTATTTACCTTATAAGTGCTTTCTTTAGTTGGGAAATATGTTAGTCCTGTATTTTTGATAAGGAACCCGAAATCGAAAGAGGGTAAATTAATTGGTAATGGCCACACAGCAGTGAAACTGGACTAGATCCCAGGGTTCCCGTTTTACTTTTGTGCAGGTTGGAGAAAAGTAAGGATACCATCTAATTACCCATTCTTTATCTTGACAGTCTCTTCAACAGGTCACGTTTAAGAGGTTTCTTGTACCTCCTGTTGCCAGTGGCTGGGACACAATGGATCACACAGGGGCAGTAGACGCTGAGGATGAATTGGGACCGTTAGCCCATCTTGCTCCAAGTCCTCAAAGTGAAGCTGTTGCTCACGAATTCCAGGAACTCTCATTGCAGTCCAGTCAACACTTACCCCCTCTGAATGAAAGGAAGAACGGTGAGTTCTCCAGCATGTGCAGTGAGAACTTTGATTTAAAGACTAATGCTTTGCCAGCCCAATTTATTCCTCTTTAGTCTTTGTCCGTTACATTTTTTGTTAGTTACATTTGGCAGTCTGTCACCAAGGAGAACCTCACAGAAGTACTGGCTGGTGATTGATCGGCAGAATTTCACGTTCTTTGCAGTTCTTTCATTTTTTTTCTCCAGTAAGAATCTTTGGTGGCAACATTGTCTTTTCTATTTTTTAATATCTTGAATTATCAATAATATCTTACTGATAAAGGTTAGTTTTAATGGATACAAAATTGCTGTGTAAAACAAGTGCCTTCAAAATACGTTTCTGTAGGTAGAGATTATCTCGGTAAAAGAGTGGTTATCTACTAGCAAAAGTATATATTTAGATTTGGATAGCAAAACAAAAAGGGATTTCAAAGTGTAACTGTGTAGGCCCTTTGTCCCCCTCATATCCACTATTGGGTGGCAGATCACCCTATATAGCACTTTCACTCAAGTATACGCAGAGCTGATACTGACCACTTGCAAATATTTTTTTCTCTTTTTTACAGTTTTCTCTAGCATAGTTAAAAATAACTCAAATAATTGACCTTCAAGTAGACGGCATTATAAAGCCCTGGAGCACTTTTTCTTGGTAAACACTTTGCACTATACACCTAAACATACAGCTTTTGCTCACTCACAGTTGTTAAACAGTGAAGGAGCAAAGTTAGTGAGAACACCAAATTATTTTTTTAAGTAGCAGACCATCATAACTAATATATTATGACCATATCATTTTATTTTTTGTCTGGCCCAAGCAAAAATTAGAAAAACAGAGCAACCCTGCTCACCCTCAGATTAATCATTTTCTCTGTCTCAACTCCTCCTCCCACCCAGCTGTAGTAAAATGAAAATAGGGAACCAGCACCCCCAACCCCTCCACTCGCGTTGTGGTTGTGTGCCATCAAGTTGATTCCAATCCATAGCGACCCTGTAGGACAGAGTAGAACTGCCCCACAGGGTTTCCAAGGCTGTAATCTTCACGGAAGCAGACTGCCACATCTTTTCTTCCATGGAGTGGCTGGTGGGTTTGAACCACCGACCTTTTGGTTAGCAGCCAAGCACTTAACCACTGCACCACCAGGGCTCCTAATAACAACAGTCCCATAACCCATTGCCATTGAGTCAATTCCAACTCATAGTGACCCTATAGGACAGAGTAGAACTGCCCCATGGGGTTTCCAAGGCTGTAAATCTTTATGGAAGCAGACTGCCACATCTTTCTCCTGTGGAGAGGCGATGGGTTCGAATGCCTTTCAGTTGATAGCCGAGGGCTCCTTATAATAACAGTCCGATAACCCATTGCCATCAAATCAATTCTGACTAAGACTGACCCTTTAGGACAGAGTAGAACTTCCCCATAAGATTCCCAAGGCTGTAATCTTTGTGGTAGCAGATAGCCAGGTTTTTTCTCCCATGGAAAGTTGGTGGGTTTGAACTGCCGACCTTTCGGTTAGCAGCCAAGCACTTAACCACTGCATCACCAGGGCTCCTTCCACCCACAGTGGTCTACTTTAATGTGTCACTTTCTGGGGACAAGTTACCCAGCATCAGTAGAAATGTAGCAGCGCCCTGGAGTATCAGTGCCCCTGGTCGGACACTGCAGGGGGACACTGTAGGAGGACAGGTGAGGCCAAGGCCACAGGTCACAGAGGACACACCCTGTGCAGCTTCAGCTGCTGGCGCCTGTCGACCAGCCTGTCCGTGTGGATTTGAAACGTCTTCCATTCTCATATGATGCAGGAATAGATTTGTATTACACAAAATGAGAGACGTGATAATGGCTGAAAATAGATGAGATGGTCTGCACATTACAAAATTATCACTGCTGTTTGCCTCCCAGCAAAAAACATTCCAAAAGAGAGCAGTTAAAGGAAACACAAGTCTGGAAAAGCTAGCAGGCATACCGGGCTTCATGGGGCCATGGCCTCAGAGTAGGAAGGCTGACCGATGACAGTTCTGGGTTCACAGAGGTGCACCTACCAGCAACGTTATTTTTGGAAATAAACTTTCCATTCACCCATTTTAGCACAAGCATAAGATTCATGCTCTAATGGCATGAAGGTAGCTTCCTATGTTGATTCCAGGGAAAATAGATGGTAGGTATGGTTCAGTTCTCTTCCCACTTTTCTTTCCCCACCTCCAATGTGTTGCATCTTAATGTCAGAACTGGCAAAATTTAAGCTATCTGAATGATCACTAAGAAAGCAAGAGCTTCTTATTTGAGTATTTTTTTATATTAATATTTATTTGATTCTAGGATATGACTGTATTCTCAGTTTGGCTGGCTGATCCTTAGCATATATTAAAATGAATATTTTCTATTTATTCTGTATCTGTTTGGGAAATTTTCATCGATCACAGAGGCATCCCAGAGTAAGGGCGGATTATCCAATAAGCAAGGTAAGCAGGGGCTTACTTGCGCTTACTTACTAATCTTGTGAACAGTTTCACACGGGTTTCACCACACGACATGAGTGAAACCTATGTGAAATTGTTCACAACAGATTAGTAAGTAAGCACAAGTAAGCCCGTGCTTACCTTGCTTACTGAATCATCTGCTTCTGCCAGGGACTGTAAATTTGAAAAGAGGCTTAGATTCTGTAGGAAGGTGCTGTGGGGTTGGGAGAGAGACAGATGCCAGCCATACGTGGAAGCAGATCTTTCATGTGGTGAAAAAAACGTTAAATTGTTCACTACAGATTAGTAAGTAAGCTCGTGCTTACCTTGTTTATTGGATAGTCTACACCATCCCAGAGTCTCGAGAAAACACAGCATTGTTCATTCTTAATATAAATGAATAGAGATAGATGATATACAGTTATTTTTAACACATAAAACTAACAAATACAAAATAATGTTAAAATTTACAAATACACTAAGCTACGTAGTAGGAAGGCAGGCTTAAGAATTTCAGCTGGATTTATTGTGCTTTCCAAAGTTCTGAAGAGTCTTACGTTCACAAATATATTTTTTTAATTTCTGTTTTAGAAACCAGAAGTAATAAAACGATTTCCCTGCAGAATGCTTTCCTACCTACTCTGTTACTTACTTTTCTGGATTCTGAGTTTTCCCAATCATTCTCATTATTGGCCTTAATTTACTCAAGAAAGTAGATAAAAAAACACTTACCACTAATCTTAGTTCTTTAGTACATGTCTTTGGAGGATATTTGTTCTCCCTTCAATTAAAATTGATTTGTACCTGATACTTGTTGTCAGGCACAACCTTGACCAGTGTGGTTGGTATAAAGCAGCATCTTAGCTCAGGTGCTGTCAAAACCTTCAGGAGGCAGTGGTTGACTGGTGATGGCTTTAGAAGCTTCTATCAATTAGTACCTAGCCATATCTTAGATGGTAGCTAAGGGAATATAACCACACTTAGCCACATGTGACAACATGTGATCAAATTTAGACGGTACACTTGGACCAGTATAATACTCAAATTATCCTTCTCAAAGAAAATAAGAGTTGAACTAGTATAAAATTGGAATATCCACTTGCTCAAGAAAATGGCCATATGTAGCAGGGAGAGAAGTGTGTAGGGAAAGTTTAACTTGTGGTCATTTACTTAATACAGCCTACCACATCCTCTTGCAACAGGTACCGTGTGTGCCTGAACATAAGGTAAACCTGGCTATAAGGGTATCTCCCCTTGTAAATTTTTGGGGAGGTAGATAAAATGGTCTAGTTTTTAATTTAGTTACATATATGTAGTTAAAAGCATGTTTTATGAAGCAATGTGATAATTACTTTTATAATTACTTTTATTCTCTCACATTTCATGAAATCATTGTGCCCAAATTTTTATACATGAATCTGTATGATCAGTGTTTTTTTATCATCAGTAGAACCGCTTTGAATCACCCATCGAACACTAATTTCTAGGGCGTGTCTTCATTTCTGTCTCTTTGGTTTGAGTTACAGCAAGTTTTGAATGCTTGTATGATCTGACACTGAACATTTTACGTCTGAACCACAAGTTACCCATTCACAAAACAGTAGGACTAAGTTTTAAATTGTCTTATAATCTCTACAACATAATCACTAATTTTTTATTTGTTGTTGGTTGTACCATTGTATGGGGGTATGGTTTCTGTTTTAGAATTTATCCTATGTTTTGAGTAGGGAATACATTCGCATGGTTTAACATTTAAAGGATACAAACCGGTCACTCTCCTAGCCTTGTCCCTCAACAACCCAGTTACTCTTTCCAGAAGTAACTATTGATACTGGTGTCCTTTCTGAGAGAGTGGTATTTTTAAAAGCAATTTTTAAAAGACTTTTTTGTAACAGCATCCAAGACTTCAATTTTAAGGTCATTAACGTGGAAATAATGTGTTAATTTTTTTCTCTTCTCTTTTTTTTCTGATTCTATTAGGATATTTCTATAAACAGCCCCAAATCCTTTGAATGAAGTTTAAGTTAACGTGTTTTCCCCACAGGTACTTTTTTTGTTTAATATCAGTAAATAAAAGAGCATCTCGTAATAATGAGATACTGTGGAAGGACTTAAATATGAGACAGTTCCCTCTTTTCTAATGAATAATTTCAGTTGGTTAAAAATCTCACCTTATGTTTGAGCATATACTCTATAAACTCAGGCTTATAATAATCTGCATACACATTCCAGGCATAAAAGGAATCCTTGTTCAGCTTTCAGAAATCTAGGTCTTTTACGCAGTTATATAAGCAGAGTATGTTCACATCAAGCAATCTATAGGTGAAAGAACCTTAAACTTTCTTACCTTAATGATTTTTTCATTTTATTTATTCCTTTTCTTTTTAGGTCTTCTTAATGCCTTGTTTAAATCAGCTCACATACAAAATAAAGGTGTTGACCTCAAAATTAATGAATACTAAGTACTATTTACATGTTATGAAATAATCGAATTTAGATATTTTCTTGGTGTTTGTATTTTATTGTTATTCCTATTTGTTT